TTATATAGGCACCGATATTGTCCTCACTTAGGCACTGCGGTCATCCAACAATGTGAGGTTTTGGGTTAGGCGCCTTTCCAACATTTTTTCCACCCTCAATAGGTGAACAGTCGTCAGTTCTGATACCATTTTTAACGATCCGACTTATATAGGCACCGATATTGTCCTCACTTAGGCACTGCGGTCATCCGACAGTGTGAGGTTTTAAGGGCAAGAGCCTATTTCCCAGGAGGTCACCCATCCTAAAACTACTCTCACCCAAGCACACTTAACTTTAGTGTTCTACCGAACTCTAGGCCAAGTTTTCTCAAAAGGTCTCGATGATAATATATCACATATCTATACCTATATTTCAACCTCAAGACATGCCCCCTTAAGATTGTAGGATTCACCCCTCGGCAAACCACTTGCCGAACCCGGGATGTTACATATTACATGTGTTAATCTTGCAAGTGGTTCTGAATTTCAAGGTACTGGTCAACGTATTAAGCCTTTTAATGAATTAAGGTTCCCTAAAGTACAAGAAACTCTCTTACAGGACCCAACTGATATAGGCTGACCCTTGACCTATTGGTATCTGGACCATTGATTTTATCTTTTCAGTTTTTATCCTTTTAGCAAGGTATAGTTGAAAGTGTCGAAACCGTTATTCCACATACTCTTGCTGGCTGAGTATAATTGATCTAGTACATGCTAGTTTTATAGCGTCCCCTGCAATTAGAACTTTTTCTTGTTCTGTTTGGGGGTGGGGAAGTTAAATCCCCACCATTTTTTAAGTCTTGAGTATTTGACTTTAAAAGATTATTCTTGTTGTATTTTTTTCTTTGGCATCAGGATCTCACACATTCTACTATAGCGTTTTATCTCGTCTGTATCTTTCTTTTTTAGTAGCGTTTATCTAGGGAGTGATTTTTCTGTGTGTCCCTATGTCAGGCCGAAGACATAAAACTTAGGGCTCCAAGGAGGCAGCTCTGTGTTTTCTTGCTAGACCCAATCGTGCGTTTGTTTTTCTTTTATTGCCAGATTTAGTTTTGGCTATTTTAAACCACTTGTTCTAAAGACATGTTTGATTCTGTTTTAATGGCATTTATGGCTAATTTGCCGTTTTAATGGCATTTATAGCTTTTATGTATATTTTGCAATTTTACAAAATTTTCAAAATTAATTTTGAATTATTTTGTGTCGTTACAAACCCTAGGGGTAGAACCTTCATTTCCATTAATTTCAGTAATCGGGGTTATATAACAGGCGTCTAGACATCTATATAGTATATACCCCTTCGTATGCATAGAAGGTCTTGGCACTTTAATTTTCACCAGTCAAAGTATAGTCCAAATAGTAAGTTGACCAGTTAACAAAAACAATCATCTTCTTGTAATCTCGACTCAAGATCATAACAGTGCAATTTAAACTCGACTCGAGTTCTTCACAATTCAACAGATCTACTTTCTCTCTCTCCGATTCTATCTCATTTCTAGCCTAATTTCAACGTCGTTGGTATAATTTTGTTCCTCTCTTCATCCTCTATCTTTTTATACCTTCAATTCGTGCCATAATGCCTCCTAGAAGATGTGAAGGAGGGATTGTTCCCAAGTGAGATTATTCTCGTTTGTTCGAAGATGATCGCATGTGGCACTTCTTTGCCCATTTTATTGTCTCTAGAGGATGGGAATCACTCTTTGGAGCGGAGTGTGAGCCTTATAATTCTTCATTGGTGTGACGCTTTTAAAATCAGATGGATTACATCGATGAGGTTGTTTTTGTAAATTGGGATCCGCACAACCGTTATCGGATGGAGAAGGCCCCGTCTGAGTGGGAGGCTTTGGTTGTTACACCGGCTGTCATCAAAGCAGTTTTTCTCGATGATCGATTTCTTCACCGCTAAAGTGGTAACATCTCGATCAGTTGGTTGTGGCTCAACCAAGGATTGGTGGCACACTGGGTGACCACCAACGTCCTTGGTACTACACAGACGTGCGAGTTGTTCACTGAGGGCATCCATGTGCTTCGTCTACTTTAGGTAGACATCCATGGCTAGTGTATGGCCAGATGTCTGTTCCAAACTCTCACCAACGCTTGTACCACTTTTGCACCTTTGCGGAGCCTAGTGATGAGTAGGGAGCGCCTTTTTCTATACCGTTGGTTTTATTGTCTATTACCCACCTAGAGGTTCACAAATCACAACACCGGGCTGCCTTTCTGCCGACAGCAGCAGTGGGTCACGCCAGTTTACTATAGGCCAGTGACGAGCGTTCCGAAGTTTTGGACACGAGGAGGTCCAGCATCGCATGGACGAGGGTCAGGGCCCGCTTGCCCGTCATCGTCATGGGGGTGGTTATTAGTTTTAGTTTAGTCAGTCATTTCTTGTATTTTTTTGTTGTATTTTCCTTTTTATTTGAATCCATTTGTATTTTATTTTTATGAAAAAAGTGTTACCTTTTTATTTTTAGTTCTTTTGTGTTAGACATGTAAATTTTTAATTCCATTTACTTGTTAAATGAATATTTTAATGAAAAGGGATGAAAATTTTATTTTGTACTTTGTCATTTTCCTTGAATTTCAATCATTTGTTGGGTTTTATTGCAAAAACTGGACTTTAAAGATTTATTTTTAAATTTTTCTTGTACAGTTGTACCTAACTTCAAAATCCAAAACTTTACGAAAAGGAAATTATGGTTTTGTTTTTTCTGGAAACCTCAATAAGATATGGCAAATATCTTGAGTCCTACCAAAGTTAGAATCGTTTTTTACGATATATATACCAATCTCTTTTCATTAAACCTCACAACCACAAAATAAATTTTTTTTTT